TAGGTAGGATTTGCGGTTTGATCGGATTAGCGGTTTTGATCGGATTAGAGGCTTGTTGGATTAAAAGGCTGGTTGACATCAAATGTCAAACTTCATAAGCAAGGTTAAAATACTCAATTACAATTCAACATAAAATTTACTTCTGACCCCCTTATTATACATCTACTCTTTGACGTCCGATATTTTATATTAATGTGCGCAGAGTAATTACGTATTTCACAGCTGAGTCAACCAGCAAAATGAAGGTGGTATGGCAAGAGACTTCGTCTAAAATTAATTTATTATCTCTAAAATGTGTTGGTTTATAGTGTATTTTTGAGCTGATTGATTGTTTTTTACGGATTATCAACCCTCTGTGTGTTACTTAAAGAGGAAACATAGTTTGTATTTGTTGTGGTCTGTTTAGGGGCCAGAAAGAAAAACACGGAAGACGAAGGTAGGATTGAACGAGTGTATTGAAAATAACAGATATATACAAAGCAAGAGTGTTAGTAATAAGCAGATAGAGGTGTACGTCCGAACGGCAGGTTAACAACTGCGTCTCCGCTCCCCCAACCGACTCCTCAAAGACTCTTGCAATTAGTATTTATAAGAGGAGGAAGAGTTCATTCTACTGTAAGAGGGTTTACCACAACAGTATTGTAAGAATGTTTTTTGCGAGTGAATATTGCATTAACAGTTTGTTTTTTTTTTTTTTATAATAACAATGATTTTTCCAAATATAAGTCCTAATATTTAACCTATAGTTAGGGGGAGACAGATTCGTACCTTTCCCAAGTGTAGCTGATCGTAAGTGAGTGTAAAGAACCTAATTTCTTAGTTCCAGTTGCTATCCATTACATCATCCGCACATACAGATATATCGGGTTTAAACCCCAAGGAGGATAACTAAAAAACAAGATATTCGCCAATATTTACTGTAGGAATTCCAAAAAAACACATTTAAAAAACATGTGTACAGTGTGAATGCGGTGAATGCTTGTACAAGTCAACTATGGTTGACAAGAATTAAAAATGGTGATGGTGACATATATGACAAACCTCATTATTTTAAGACATTTTTTATGCTTATACATTCTTTTTATATATACAAATATTTAAGTAAATGCTCTGTTTTATAACAAACAGTATTAAACAACATTTGCTGGCCTGATTGTCCGAGAAATTGTCATAGAAAATATGCGTTCTCCGGCAGGAATCGAACCTGAATCCTATACGGAACCGTCATATAGCCTGACGTGCTTTTACCAATTGAGCCATAGAGGAGCGTTTCGATTACCAAGGTCGATTTTACTGTTTTGAACTACAATTCTCCATGATTTTCTCTCATACATGTCTTAAAATGATTGTCGGACTTTGTCCATTTCATAATGTGTGACGCCATTTGCTTACATTTGGATACGCATTTAGCAGATATGAATGTATGAGAGAAACGTCGGTTGGTTTGGTTTGGTTTACGGTATATCAACACCTCAAGGGATTATTTAATGCCGACAAGATTTTTATTGCTGGTAATTTTTTTCCAAAAACGTATTGCTGGTATTAAACCTATTTTTATAATTTCATAATGTTTTGACCCCAGTTTGGGGGTTAACTATTTACCCATAGCTGGAACCCCAACAGGTCCTACCACCTTGGGTCAGAATGAACACCTGGGAACATCGGCAGTTAAGAGGTGGCTCAAGACTTCCTGATCAGAGACCTTGTTGTTGGATGTAGTTTGCCGTCATACCCAGGACACGGATGTAGTTTATCGTCTTACCCAGAACGCACCTGTAGTTTATCGTCATACCCAGGACGCGCATGTAGTTTACCGTCTTACCCAGGACGCGGATGTAGTTTATCGTCTCACCCAGGACGCGGATGTAGTTTACCGTCATACCCAGGAGGGCTTAACGTCGGTAATCGTACGGTAAACAGGTGTTTCAACATGATATGTCCGATAGCCATATCACCCAAGCTTACAGCTTGGTATGCTCAACCGGTCACTCATCTAAGTATTAACCAGGCCCCAGGTTGTTTTATCAAATTTGCTGCAAAACGGTCAAAATTTAAAAGCTACTTTGGACAACAAACAAGAAATTAACGATACTTTTATTATAGATTTCCTTTATTCTCCCAAAACGGAAATTTTCAGCCTTATGAACAGCAAACTTTAACTCTCGCCGTTATATCTCTTGATATGGCGACTTGTATAGGACGACACGTGCTGATAAATGTAGGTCGATCGATACAGGCTTTTCATCCCCACCCCTGTGAACTGATTATGACACATTATTGTCTTTTTATTTGAAATGAGGATTGACAGGGATTGCGAATTTCTTCTCCTTTTTTTTTTTCTTTCTCATTCACCTCCTACTTTATCCGTTCTTTGTGCATGCACTTGTAGACCCGGCGACATTCCGGGTGAAATAACTCCCAGAAACCGGAAGTAGTTATTCTTTCTATGGCGTTTTCAATTGTGCCTTCTTTAATACTGAGCTTTTATTCGCTTTCAGTAAAAAAATACCAACTGCGTGGGCGTTTCACTCAACGCTGATTTCCTTGATTTTACCGTCATTTTACCGTTTTTAATAATTCCTTTTTTTTCCATATTTAAAAGAAGAAAAAAAAAAGAATGAAAGAAAAGGAACATTTTCTGTGTTGGACACAAATTGTCATATCGCCCACGTTGACTCTTCATAACAGCTAAGATGAGTGATTCAAAGCAATACTTCAAGCTTCACATTAGAAATGTAAATAACTTAAAAAATATATCGGCTTCTTCAACATAATATTGGCAATTTATTTAAACAACATATGTTTAAGAAAAAAATCGAAGAAAAAAGATAATAAAATTGTAATGACAAAAATACGCAGGTTTAGGCTTTAAGAAAGCTTTATTCAACTGAGAATATAATGTTCGCGTATAGTGTCCTTTTACAGTCCCAGTAAACCGAAATAGCTATCTCAAAGAGGAGAGTAACAAAACAAGGGGAGACCACTCTTGATTATTCATAATTAATGTTTAAGAAATTTCTCGGATATTCAGGACAGTAAATGTTGTTAATACAGAGCATTTACTTAAATATTTGTATCTATAAAAAGAACGTATAAACATAAAAAAATGTCTTAAAAATAATTGTCGGACTTTTCATAATGTGTGACGCTTTTTGTTTACATTTGGATACGCATTGAGCAGATATGAATGTATGAGAGATAATCATGGTGAATTGTGTTTAACAACAGTAAAATCGACCTTGTGGTCTAATCGGTAAAGGCACGTCAGGCTATATGACGGTTCCGTAAAACATGTTATTACCACAACGTATTTTTGAAGAAAAAAATTACCAGCAATAAAAGTCTTGTCGGCATTAAATAACCCATTGAAGTGTTGATATGTCGTAAAACAAGCGAAATCAAAACCAAAGGCAGGCCCAAAACTTTTGATTCATAGCGTATATTTAATGAAAATATTTTCCATCGGTTACTTTATTGAAGTTTGTTTTGAGGTCATTTTTCACCAGAGTAACCTTCCACGAATCTTCACCATTCTTGCCTCTCTAGTCGCTACTTCCATGACAAATGTTCAGACGAGCTCAATTCTTTAGCGTCACCAGTTCAGATATTTACGATCAAGACCTGGCTTGTTATTTCCATACGGTTGAATCACCCTAATTCCCTACATTATGGTAAGAAGAGCTCCCTACTTCGAAATCTTCTCAAGAATCGCTACTCTGTAGAACAGACTCCAGCATGAATATTTCCCGGACACGACAATCTTATTTTCTTCAAGTCTAGAGTCAATTGTTATTTATCCGCCATATTCTCATAATTTTCACTTCCTACTTCCTCATAAAGTATTCCTCTATCTTAAGTAGGTCTTGGGTCCTTTGTCGGAAGAACTATAATAAATGAAATACTATATAAAACAGTTCAAACTATTTAAATTGTTTCGACTGTTGTCCTCATCTTTATTACCATCTTCACGGCATTTCGGCCGTTGTACGCTCCGGCCTTATTCAGGTAATATACGTTGGAATTTCGAACCGAACGTTTCGTCGATTGTTCTAGTTCCACGTGCCATGCTTTTTCTGAAGATCTCAGTTTCAGTTAATTCCCTTTAGTAACTCAACTCTCCACTTTTTTTTCTTTTTTTTTTTTTCACCTCTGCTGTGGTCAGGTATTGAACTCACAACTCTTTGGATCAAGTCACTGGATTACTTTAACCAACGCTTTTATCCACTGAGCGATGTGTCTTGATAAAGGGTTTGGTTCGAAATTCCAATGTATATCACCTGAAGAAAGCAGGGGCGTACAACGGCCGAAACGTTGTGAATATGACAATAAAGATGAGGGCAACAGCCCGGACGATGTAAATAGTTACAATACCTCATCTCAGGAATATAGACAGATCCTGAAGAAGGCCGATGCGTACAACGGCCGAAACGTCGTGAATATGACATTAAAGAAGGGGACAACAGTCCGAACAATGCAAATAGTGTAAATAGTTACAATACATCATCTCAGAAATAGAGACAGATCCTGAAGAAGGCCGAGGCGTACAACGGCCGAAACGTTGTGAATATGACAATAAACAAGTCCGAACAATGTACATAGTGTAAATAGATACAATACCTCATCTCAGAAATAGAGACAGATATTTAAAATTCATTGGAAAAAAATCAAACTCTTAAGAAAGCAATGAACCGGGTAAGGGGTAACGTTAAGGTTAGGGTTAGGATTAAGGTTAATATTAGGGTTAGGGTTAAGATTAGGGTTAGTGTTAAGATTAGGGTTAGGGTTAAGGTTAGGGTTAGGATTAAGGTTAAGTTTAAAGTTATGGTTAGGGTTAGTAATATAACGCTTCAATCTAGTCTTTCTTGCAATGTTATTTTAACACTAAAATTCAGCCAATCCATGGCTCAAGAGCCACTCGGGTTAGAGTGTTACTGTGAAAGAAGTATGGCTTATCCCATCTCTTAAGGTCTGAACTAGTGGAGGTCAGCTGAACTCTTGCTATGGTAACGACAGAACAGCGTCTGGTTGACTATGTTGTGTTTGTGGGGAAAGAAGCCTCAGAGTTGAATCCGTGGTTCACTTATGCCATTGGGTATAAATGCAAAGACGTGTAAAATAGATTGCTTTTCTGCCATCAGTGAAAAGAAACCCAAATATTTTGCATTAAATTTTATGGCACATCAACCATAATGGTCATTTAGTTCTAAGCAAATTTGATTGCCAGAACTTTTTGATCGCCTCTCAAATATGATTTTTTTTCTCCGGAAAAAAAATCTGTTCTTTAGATATCAAAGGTTTAAAACATTTACCACCACCTTCTAGAATGAAGAGGATATTCTTACAAAAAACATTTAAAAATGTCTGATAGATATTAAATTACTGTGCATAGACCCCAAGCATAAATGACTTTAAATTTATTGGATGGCTGTCGAATATATGAAACTGAAATAATTTATACTTTGTCAAGAAAATTTAAAGTAATTTATTGTTGTAATTAAATTTGTACACGCACACGCACACACAGACCCACACAAGCACAGACACACACACACACGTGTGTGTATGCAAATTTAATTACATGTGTGATTAATTATAACGCGTGCAAGAATGGTCCTGAAAAGGGAAAAGTTATTGGCTTGTCCAAGACCTAAATGTCTAGTTTGATTCGAGTTGGAGAGGTGGATTGGTTCGGCCCTTTACACACACACACACACACACACATATATATATATATATATATATATATATATATATATATGTGTGTGTGTGTGTGTGTGTGCGTGTGTGTGTGTGCGTGTGTGTTTGTGTATGTGTGTGCACGCGCGTGCCTGTGTGTGGAGGGCAGTTTGAAAGTTTCTCAAACCAATCCACCTCTCCAAATCGGACCAAACCAGATTTTTTAGATCTTCTTGGGCAAGCCAAAATCTTTTTCACTTTTCAGGACGCTTCTGGCACGCGCATCTTCACACACACACACAGAGGTGGCCTGACGATTGCGTCTAGCATGAAACAGACTGTCGCCTCTAAGTGTTGACTTCAATGTTCACTTTTATATATATATATATATATATATATATATATATATATATATAGATAGATAGATAGATAGATAGATAGATATTTTTGAAACATAGTTAGAACTGTGTAGCGAAAAAAATATTTTAAATCAATTAATTTATAATATTAATGCTCTGTAAATTTACATTGAGCACTATTTTGTAAAAATAAAAATATCTATAAGAACACCGGATTATATATCTTACTGTTCTTTCTTTTTATTTATATACACAGATATATATATATAGGTGCCACAAAAGAATTCAATTGTTATTTGCATTTTCTTTAAAACATATAGAAATACAAACTCATGAAGGAAAAGAAACAAACTCAAAGGGAATAATGGCCACAACTGAGCATTGGATCGAATTACAAAGTATAGATAACAATGAAAAAAACCCGTGTTTAGTAATCTGAAGGTCAAGCCATTAATGAACTTATATTATATAGGTAACTCCAGAGGAAAGCGATGACGACAGATTAAAATGCATTTTAAAAATGAAAAATCTTTCTTGAAGCTTTTGTTTTAGTTTTAATTTCAGGCTAAGAGATTAAATGTTAATATTTCCAATAAACAAAATACTTTACTGCATTTCAAACTGAATTTAAATAGATTGGAATGATTTTTTTAAATCGTTAAAATCGCTAAAAATCAGCCATATTAACGAATCTGTCAAGAGAATATATGATTCACTTTAAAAACCTTTCAAAGCTAAAATGGACTTTTGTGGGCGTTTATTCACCTCGTATATTTTCTTTTAGTGAATAAATGGAGGTACCTATATATATATATATATATATATATATATATATATATATATATATATATATAAAGAACAGTAAAAATAAATCCGGTGTTCTTATTCGACGCTTTCAGCTTCCATTTTTGAACCATGGTTAGAACTGTGTAGCGAAAAAAACCATATTTTAAATAAATTAATTTATTTTATATATATATATATATATATATATATGTGTGTGTGTGTGTGTGTGTGTGTGTGTGTGTGTGTGTGTGTGTGCAGATATGTAGAAAAATAGGAAAGAACACGTTAGGTAAATAATCTGGTGTTCTTTAGTATTTTTGTTTTTATTTAAAAAAAAAAAAAATCAGTGCTCCATACAGAAGTAGAGCTTAAATTAAAATTATTTAAAAAAAAATTTATTCCTTCGATATATATATATATATATATATATATATATATATATATATATATATATATATATATATATATATGGACATTGAGGTCAACACCAATCGGTGGCAATCTGTTTTATGCTTAAAATGCTTAAACGCAATCTTCAGTTCATAAAATGTTAACCTCAATGTTCCCTTTTATATTTATATTTACATACGCTCTATCTCTGATATGACCCAATTTATCCCATAAATATAGCATACCATATAAGTAAATATGTGTGTATGTGTATGTGTGTGTGTGATAAGATAAAGAACAAATAGGAAACACATATCAAACTAACAAGCTTCACTTTTATTAAAGCTTCATCAGAGATTGAGAGAAACAGAAAACAAATATTATCCTCATCTACATGTAAAAAAAAGTTTAAAAATAATGGATGTCCTAGCAATAAAAAAGAAAAAGACAGCATTCAATAATATCAACTATGAACATGGCCACAATGTGCTGACCATGTTTGGAAATTGGAAACATCTCTATAATTCTAGATACATACATAACACAATCCATAAATTCAGTTAAAAGTAAAAATAAATTCGTCCTTGATAAAGGCAAAAAGTGCAGCCGAAAGAGCTCGGAATTGTAGAACCGCTGGGCAGTTTTTACACATTTTGTGTCCAGAAAAGAAGAAACATGTATCAACACAAGAATAATTAAATAAAAAGCATAATCACAGTACCTTGTCAATCGTCATTAACCAAGTATGTATAAAAGAGGGACTGTTGCTTAAATACACAATTATATATATATATATATATATATATATATATATATATATATATATATATTACGTAAGCCATTATCAAAGATGACAATTTCAATAAATCAAACAACACACGGACGAAACAACAATGATAGTCCGCCCTTGCTGCATAAAAATTTCCAAGTAACGACAATATGAAAGGAATTTAAAATAAATAGACAAAACTTGTCTATATTATTTAATGAAACATGCATTAATGAAAAACTGCTGCCTAAATATGCACAATACACACACACACACACACACACACACACACACACACACATATATATATATATATATATATATAAATATTTATAAAATGTGGAAAAAGTCTCGACTTGTGACGAGTTTCGTCATTCAGGTCTTGATCGGACTAAATTTGTTGTGTTATACACATGCGCACGAACAGGGTATGCTGGAAATTTAAATTATATATATATACATATGGGGAAATGTATATATATATATATATATATATATATATACATATATATATATATATATATATATATATATAAGTGCGATGGATAAATTGCCGTCTAAATTACGCAAAAATGAAAATAACAGGAATATTTATCAAAATTACACCAAAATATCTTGAAATTCGAAAGAATAAATCTATTGGCTTCAACCATGGCCTCCAGAAGACTTCGGAATCTCCTGCGTCTCTTCTAGACGGCCATCTTGTTTAAGTCAGCGAATGCTGCCATAATCATTGCCTACAATTCATCTTTGTTGTTATAAGATTTTTTTTGTCTCTCGCTCAGCTGCTCCCCACACATAATAATCAAGACGGTTGCTTTCTGGGAAGTTAGATGTAAGAGATAGTAAGAGGTGATGTCTTCGCAGAAATTGATTTACAGCCATGAGTGGGTTCTCCTCCTTGTGTGGCATGGTACAGAGTCCTTTTGCCAGACATAGAGTCTTCCAGTAGCCACCCTCTTGACCCAGGACAGCACTACCTCTTCAAAGCACTTGATGTAGGCCTCCGTATTGAGTCTGAGGCCCTGTAGTAAGATGAATGGAGGCATAACGTCGCCATCACTCGTGATCATTCTAAACACCATGACGTTGACTGAATATATCATCCAAATCTTTTCGAATCCTCTGCACTGTCCTCGGATTGACACTCACTGTTCATATTGGAGTTTCCGGCGTGAATGCCAAGCAATACAACAGGGCGAAGTAAATTGCGTCATGGTGCTCTTTTCCCCACAGACGGTGCCCAACCGACCCTACTATACTCTGCAGTCCACAAAATTAAAAACAAACAAAGCGCATGCGCGAAATTAAAAGAAATATAAAATGACGCCTATTTACTCACCACACTCTGTGTGTGTGTGTGTGCGCGCGCGCGCGTGCGTGCGCGTGCGCATGTTTACATGTGTGTGTGTGTGCGCGCGCGTGCGTGTGTCTTTACATGACAAAGTGGAAAAAATTGGATATAAGATGTTTCGTCCTTCACTTCAAGGACTTATGGAATTATAGATGTGTAGGAGGAGTGACTGGTCTGGTACATTCTCTTCTATAACTTAAAAGCTTAAATAAAAGTCTATGGGGAATCATGATTGTTGGCGCCCTGAAGAGACATGGCATTATAAAAGAAAATGGCAAACCGAGCTAAGTAAAAACACTGAGTACGGGTCCTGAAGCCAAGGAAAGTGGCCAGAAAGCGAAAGGGTTAACTCAGATTAAAAGTAGAAAAATCAGGGTATGTAAAATAAATATGAATTGGTTACAAGGGAGTTGCATTTAAAACTGACGACAATTTGGCAAATGAAAATCGGAGGTAAAAACCTTCGGAAAGGGACAAACATTTGGGCAATTCAACAAAGTGTTGGGTGGAAGTGACCGTTCTCAATGTGAGAGAAGTTAGCAGATGGTGAGCGTTGAGAAATGCTTCCAATGATCGCTGCGCTAAAGAATGACTAAACAAAGCCGAAAAAGAAAATTCGGTTTCGACAGATTTAGAATAAAAGGTCGAGGTTTTTGAAGGACAGAGTCGTAAGGGGTTAGGGAAAAAGAAATTTAATCTGCAGGCGAAGAATAAAAATTTGGATAATGATTGATAAATTGAGGAGGAACTAGAATAAAGTGGACAGGCTTTGATAAGACGATATGTTTGAAAGAAAAAGCAACAACGAAATCCGGGGATAAGCAAAATTTGCTACTTTTAAAGGACCTCATTTCTCGGCACAAAATTGACTATTTTTAAAGGGTTTCAATTTTCATCTCAAAATTTTGAACGTCCACTTTTTTCGGCTCAAAATAAACTATTTTTAAAGAGTCTCATTTGAAGTGTTCATTTTTTAGTTTAAAATTTACTATTTTTAAAGGGTTTCAATTTTCATCTCAAAATTTTGAACGTCCTCTTTTTCGGCTCAAAATTTACTATTTTAAAGAGTCTCATTTTTTCATTTTTAGTTCAAAATTTACTATTTTTTAAAGGGTTTCAATTTTCATCTCAAAATTTTGAACGTCCTCTTTTTTCGGCTCAAAATTTACTATTTTTAAAGAGTCTCATTTGAAGTGTTCATTTTTTAGTTCAAAATTTACTATTTTTAAAGGGTTTCAATTTTCATCTCAAAATTTTGAACGTCCTCTTTTTTCGGCTCAAAATTTACTATTTTAAAGTGTCTCATTTTTTGAAGTGTTCATTTTTTAGTTCAATCATTTTCATCTCAAAATTTTGAACGTCCTCATTTTTTCTTCAAAATTTACTATTTTTTAAAGTGTTTTCATTTTAATTTTCATTTTTTAGTTCAAAATTTACTATTTTTAAAGGGTTTTTTTTTCGGCTCAAAATTTTGAACGTCCTCTTTTTTCAAAAATTTACTATTTTTAAAGTGTCTCATTTGAAGTGTTCATTTTTTAGTTCAAAATTTACTATTTTTAAAGGGTTTCAATTTTCATCTCAAAATTTTGAACGTCCTCTTTTTTCGGCTCAAAATTTACTATTTTTAAAGTGTCTCATTTGAAGTGTTCATTTTTTAGTTCAAAATTTACTATTTTTAAAGGGTTTCAATTTTCATCTTAAAATTTTGAACGTCCTCTTTTTTCGGCTCAAAATTTACTATTTTTAAAGAGTCTCATTTGAAGTGTTCATTTTTTAGTTCAATATTTACTATTTTAAAAGGGTTTCAATTTTCATCTCAAAATTTTGAACGTCCTCTTTTTTCAAAATTTACTAAAAAGTGTCTCATTTGAAGTGTTCTTTTTATTTTTAAAAAGGTTTCAATTTTCATCTCATTTTGAACGTCCTTCAAATTTTTTTTTAAAAGTTCTCATTTGATGTTCATTTTTTAGTTCAAAATTTTTTAAAGGGTTTCAATTTTCATCTCAAAATTTTGAACGTCCTCTTTTTTCGGCTCAAAATTTACTATTTTTAAAGAGTCTCATTTGAAGTGTTCATTTTTTAGTTCAATATTTACTATTTTTAAAGGGTTTCAATTTTCATCTCAAAATTTTGAACGTCCTCTTTTTTCGGCTCAAAATTTACTATTTTTAAAGAGTCTCATTTGAAGTGTTCATTTTTTAGTTCAAAATTTATTTTTAAGGGTTTCCATCATTTTCGGCTCAAAATTTTTCGGTGTTCTATTTTTTAAATTTTCATCTCATTTTTTCTTTTTCGGTTCAAAATTTACTATTTTTAAAGTGTCTCATATAAAGTTTCATTTTCAGTTCAAAATTTACTTTTTAAAGGCCTTTTTTTAATTCAACATTTACTATTTCTAAAGGGTTTCAATTTTCATCTCAAAATTTACTATTCTTAAACAGCCTCATTTTTCGGCTCAAAATTTACTATTTTTAAAGAGTCTCATTTTTTTAGTTCAAAATTTACTATTTTTAAAGGGTCACATTTTCCAGTTCAAAATTTACTATTTTTAAAGGAACTCATTAGCTTTATCTTTTTAAGTCTCTCATGTTTTCTCACTTTATCTCTCTATCCTTCTCTCTCTGTATATATATTTCTTTGACACTCTCTTCTTGACTATATTTTTATTTCCCTCTCTCTTCTGTCTCTCTCTCTATCTCTAGCTCCCATTCAATCTCTGCATCTCTCACTCAGTTTCTTTGTTGTCTCTTTCGTTTCTTTTTCTTCCTCTCTTTCTTTTTTCTCTCTCTCTCTCACTTCCTCTTTATCTCTTAATCTTTCCCTCTCTCTCTTTCACTATCTTCTCTATTCTTGTCTATTTACTCCTCCCTCTTTACCTTTGTCTCTCTCTCTCTCTCTCTCTCTCTCTCGAGTTTTCTCTCTCCTTCTATGCCTTTCTTTTTCTGTCCCTCTTTTTATCTCTTTCCCTTTTTCTGACTTTCTTTCCCTCTTTCTTTTTTTCTCTTTCTCTCTCTCTCTCTCTACTC